CCTGGTTCTGATCCAGGTCCTGGTTCTGATCCAGGTCCTGGTCCTGGTTCTGATTCAGGAGAACCGTCTAATCCCTGCAGCCTCATTCTGACTCTGGACTGAACCGGATCCTTTCCCATCATCCCTCTCTCCTCCATCAAGGAGGTGTTGCCTTGGATGAAGGAAAAAACATTTCTGGGATTTCATGGACTATTTGAAGTACTTGTCTGTATATTTAGTTGTAAATATATTTAATACACTTCACTAATTTTGCACTATTTGGTTGTTTGTGTGTTTTTATAAAATCTCTCTCCCTCCAGCAGCGAGTCGTTGACCAACTCAGTCATTATGTTGCACTTAGCTCTCCGTCGCTATGATACCATCATGTTTGTCCTGTTTGTTTCTGAGAAAAGAAGATCCATCCATCCATCCTCCATCATCCCTCCATCCATCCTCCATCATCCCTCCATCCATCAGCCTCAGCTGCAGGTAAACAGGAAGTGGCTCCTGCTGGGAAACGGCTGATGCATGATTTATGATTATTGGGAAACATTAATTATTAACCACAACAGTCTGTCTGTTCTCTTCTAAAGGGTTTGTGTTCAGGGGCCATGGAGGTTCAGGGGCCCCCGAGTATGGGCCAGTGTGTCACCAGGATCATCCAGCAGGTGGAGCTAATGCAGCCCTAAAGTGACTGAGTTGCTTGTATTTGTGAAACGGCTGACAGACAGAAGACACTGAGGAATTATGGGTCGTTTTAAGGAATCAGGCAGTGATGTTGATGAGCTGACTGATACTATTAGTCGCTGTGGGATTTTTATGAAGACTGATTAATTCTAACAAAGAAAACTGTGAAAATATGTTCTTAGAGCAAAAATCTGTTGAACCAGAAGAGAAAGGAATTCTGTGAAGGAAATTAGCTTAAAAGGGACATTAAGTATGAAATAAAAATGGCAAAACAGAAGTACAAGGAAAGGCTGGAGAAAGACTCCACTAATGGGCAGGAACAAATTAAAAGCTGCTGTTGGACCAGAGATCAGGTGCAACAGGTGCTTCTTCCTGGTTCTCATTCTCATAACTAAATGAGTTCAACATGTTTTTCCTGAGGTTTGATTCTCCTGATTTTAGTAATGAGATTTCACATCTGAAAAACAAACATCTCTGCTCTTTCCTCTTTGACTTTTTCTCTGCAGCTGAATCTGTCAAACGCTGCAAGGCTGGAAAAGCCGTCAGGAAATACATCTGGCTCCGATTTGATCATCTTCCACACTTCACCAGCAGGGGGCGCCAAGGTTTCACTTATTTCCATGATCTGGATTCTGATGCTTTAAAGGGAACCACGACTAGTTATAAAAATAACCTTATTTGGGAAATATTTATCTCAGATGTAAAGACAATACAATAATAATACTGTAGGTTATTTAGTTTTTATAAATTTTAATAAAATATTTTCACAGGAATGTCGCCATGTTTTTCACACTGCAATGCATTCTGGGTAAATGACATGTAACGGTCCAACTGCCTGGACCAAACAGTGATGAGTCCCGTTATGAAGCCTTTTTGATTTGAACCGGAGCGCGTTGAAACTGACCAGAACGTAGAAATAACAAGAGGTGATGAAGAGGAGCAAACAGAGGCAGCTGGCCGTAGGAGCTGCTGCTGCCTTCAGGTTCATAATGAAACAATGAATGAGACTCACCTCTGGTCACTGTGTGATCCGGTTCGGTTCTGTAGCTCTGAGTCCAGTTAGGTAACAGCTGTTACTGGTGGTGGTTTTACATTCAGTACCGGTGATCCAGATCCGTTAGCATTTCCAGCAGCATAGCTCCGTTAGCGCTGCTTGTCTTTGACGTTTCTCCCAGCGTCTGTAGCGCTGTGTCCGGTTCAGCATCAGCTGTGCTGTCGAATCCGGTGTCAGCGGGAACAGCGACACCGGACTCTACCAATGACACTGGACCTCCATCGGTGATGTCAGTACCAGAGTCAGTGTTACCCTGCACTGTAGCTAACTTCCTGCTCATCAGAGTTCACTTCAGCCGGACCGAGGTTTTCAGAGTTAACTGTTTCAGTCTGGATTGGAATTCAAATTTGCATTCACATTCCCTAGACACACTTTCTAGATAAACAAATTAAAGTAAAGCGGACTGGTGTGAATGCAACCTTAGTTTATATTACGCAAACAGGAGGACGGGGCTTCGGTTGGTGAGCCAACTGGTCCCCAGGAGGGGGCATGACACTCCTGGGGACACACTGGAGGCCCCGCCCCTCATTTAGGCCCCGCCCCTCAGAGAGCTGCAGCTGTAGCAGCAGGTTGCAGCCACTGCTCAGTTTCCTCCTGACTCATCAGTGACAAGCAGCTCAGCCTCACAGGCAGCTTTCTAACAAACACAGACTGGCCCCGCCCACAGCGCCTGCGGTTCCTGGAAAGGTGCAGCCTGCTGCACCTGTTAGACAGGTAGCAGCTGCCCCAGTGCATGCTGGGAACTCAGGACCTTCAGCTTCAGGTTCTGACCCGGCTTGGTCCTGCCTCAGCAGAGGAAACCAAACAGGATCAGGACCAGCAAGGTTCCAGACCTGGTTTAGGTTTTGAACACATGGCCGGGTCCAGAACCGGACCGGGTTCAGAACCAGGCCCAGCTGAATGAGGTGTAGATGTGGTCAGGTTGCCATGGTAACTCACCCAGCGCCCCCTGGCAGATGTCGGTCCTAGTGGCTCCGCCCACAATGAACCGCGGCTCCGCCGACAGCTCCTGAACGACCAATCAGAGACGAGCTGCGTCACCGAAACGCCCTCGATTCACGGACCGGTTTTGGTTCCGGTTCTTACCGTAGGCCGGCGCCACTGCACGCCCCGGGTCTTGGCGCTGAGCGGGCCCAGCTCCTTGAAGCCCAGCGAGCCAGGTTCTGCCGGAAAGAGCGGGTCCAGGAAGACGGTTCCGTTCTGCAGGCACTCCTCCCTCAGGGCCCAGAAGTCCTGGTTCTGGTACCGGACCGCCTGCTGAGTCGAGCCCAGTCCCCCGGCCCGGTCCCGCTCGTGTTGGATCCGACCCGACACGCTGCTGAACATCCTGAGCAGAACCAGAACCAAACACAGAATCGGAGCAGAACCGGGTCAGAACCAGCAGCGACGCCCCCTACTGTCTGAAACAGCCCCTGACACAGAACTGGACCCAGTGGTTCCGGTCAAAGTTCTGGACTGGATGAGCCGGGTATGAGCCGAACAAAGCCTGTTCTACCATCAGCTGATTACCTCCCTGGTTCTGGTTCCGGTTCTGATCAGGGAGCAAAGTGGAAATTAACAAATTAACTTGGCCGGACCAGCAGATCCATCAGGTCCAGTTCAGGCACATGGTCCGAACCAGTAACACCGGAACCTTCTGCTCCCACTAGAGCTTAGTGGACCAGAGTTCTTTAACTGGTTCCGACTGGTTCTGAAGTAGTTCAACACAGCAGCTCTGGGTGTTCTGCTCGAACCGAACCGGGCCGGACCGAACTCTGCTGCTGATTCAGTCACACTGACCTAAGAACCGGAACCAGAACCGGGTTCTCCTTCCAAACCTCGCCACCAGCAGTAACACCTGTCTGTGCGCGCGCCCGGGACGCTGTGACGAGGACGGCTCTGATTGGATCAAATGTTTTTCATCAGTTTAGCGGCTGGACCGGACCAGAACTCCCAGTCCGAACCTGGTCGGACCGCAGCTTGAAGTGTGACCCACCTGCAGTTATGGTTCCGGCGGCTCGGTGTCGGGATGTCTCTGAGTTCTGCAGTCTGGTTCTGGTTCCAAATGATGCTGAAGATGCTTCACTGCAGCACCGGCCCCGCCCGGCGGGAGGGGCGGGGCTCCACATGACGTCACAGCGCCACGGAGGGAGGGGGGGGGGAGTTAGAGAGCGTCCCCTGCAGGAGGACAGCGGTCCAAACCGAACTTATGCTTCTGGTTCTGAATCAGAAGGCGGGTTCTGGTCCAAAAGCATCAGATCAGAACCGGAGATGAAAAAGAACATTCTGGAAACACGAACAGAAACGTCCGCTCAGGTTCTGGAGGAGGATCTGACCGGGTCAGAACCGGTTCTGGTTAGTTTCCAGGTTCTGACCGAGTCAGAACCGTGTTTGTGCTTTGAGGAGTAATAAGGTGTATTTACATATTTAATGTATGAACTTTGAGCTTTATTTTGTGTTTCTGGCAGTGTAAATAGTTTTATTGTGAAAGTTCAGAACTTCCTGTTAGCCAGTAAAATCTGTCCAAAGTGAACCTGCAGAAAACTGATATTTAGAAATTAGTCCTTTATTTTCTACAGTACTGTTTACTGTAAACTTAGTGGAAACAGGATTATATTTAGTATATTATATTTATTATGTTATATTATATTACATTATATTATATTAAATTTCATTTCTGATTCCGGGTTCTTCATGCCTTTCAAATGAAACTTCAAAACAGACTGAGTGCGTCCGCCATGGAAACACTTTAATGATCCGGTAAAGAGCAGCCAGCAGATAAAAGCCTGACTAACAGGTTCTGTGTGGCGCCGGTCCAAATGGACCTGCAGAATATCAGCGCACAGAGCAGACGGGTTCAGGGACAGTCAGCTGGTGGAGGAGAGGTTACAATACGACGAGAGAGAAGCTGCAGCCGGAAACGCTTTGATGGCGTGAAGCAGAGCGGTTCTGGTTCAGATCATGGCAAAGTTCAACCACTGCAACAGAAACACAGGATCACTTCCTGAACTCCGATAATAAACTGATATTAAACTGCTAAAAACTGATTCAGCTTCCTGCCTCACCTGGTTCAGGTCGAGCTCGATGGAGCCACTCTGGTGGGCATCCAGCTTCCTGAAGATCCCTGAGGAAAAAGACGGAGGTTAGTGTCTCTGCTCGGCTGAAATCAGATTTTTAACCACTCTGGATGTAGAACAGTGAAGTTTGTTCAGGCGTTCTCGCCGTTGATCATCAGACTCACTGAACATCATCTCCAGCCTCATCAGACACGCCACGAAGTTGTCAAAGTCGATGGTCATGTCCGGGTCCGAGTACCGGGCCACCAGCTGCTGGTAGATGGTGTTGTTGAGGGAGAAACCTTCGGAAGGACCAGGAAGCAGTTAGCTAGCAGCATGCTAACAGGATGCTAACATAAAGAGTTATCAACTGAACAACAGGAGAAAATAATCTAGTTTTTTTGGGGGGGGCTCTAGTGGCCTTTATTTGATAGTTAATTACAGGAAAGTGGGTAACGAGAGAAGACATGCAGTGAAGGTCGCCAAGGCCGGGAATCGAACCTGCGACAGCTGCGTTGAGGACTAAGGCCTCTAATGTGGGTTGTGCTGAACCCCTGCTAACCCACAGCACACCTAAAATAATCTAGTTTTAAAATGAGATGATGGAGTCACAGATAAAGTTTAATGTCAAGATTTCTGACGGTTAAACTGGTACATCTGGTGAAGCTAACTGGGCTAGCTTGAAATGTAGCGCCAACAGGACACATTAAGGCCGGTTAGAGGACGTCTAACACAGTG